GCTTAATTTTTATTACAATAACTGCTTCTGTTTATTCTTAAATAGGATAGTAGCTATGGACATAAGGACAATATTAACCATTTATGATGATGATGAGGAGGAGGAAATTCTTGTATTGATCGCAGCCGTATATGAGTACTATCATAAACATTTTGATAAGCAACGTTGTAGGGATTCCATGTTACAAGGGGAAGATTACATATTCGAGCTCTTAAATGGACATGAAAATAGGTGTTATGAAAATTTTTGGATGTACCCCAACACCTTTAGGGCATTGTGTTGTGAGTTGAAATTGTTAGGATTGAAAGATTTAACATTTCTAATGACAGAAGAACAAGTTGCAATTTTCCTACTTACCGTGTCTCACAATGAAAGGAATCGTGTCGTTACTGAAAGATTCCAACACTCTACATCCACAATTTCATATCACTTTCATACTGTCTTAAAGTTAATTTGTGAGTTAGGGACTAATATTATTGTTCCCCCGGATTTGAATGAAATTCCTAAAGAGATAAAGAACAATCCAAAGTTTTACCCATACTTTAAGAATTGTGTAGGAGCCATAGATGGTACTCATATCCATGCTGTAGTGCCAGTTGACCAACAAATACCCTTTCGTGGTAGAAAGGGTGATACGACCCAAAATGTCATGGCCGTGTGTTTATTTGATATGAAATTCACATACATTCTAGCAGGGTGGGAAGGGTCTGCTAATGATTTGAAGATTTTAAATGAGTGCATTCAAAATCAGGATTTCAATTTTCCATCACCACCCGAAGGTAAAAATATTACCTTTCCATATTTATGCATTTAACATTACAAATACGTTAATTTTAATACTTAACATACTTAACATGACAGGTAAGTTTTATTTAGTGGACTCTGGGTACGCCAATCAACCGGGGTTTTTGGCCTCTTACCGAGGTCAACGTTACCACATGCAGGAATATCGTAGACATACTAGAGGACCACGTGGTAGAGAAGAGGTGTATAATTTTAGGCACTTGTCATTGAGGAATATCATAGAGCGATGTTTTGGGTTGGTAAAGATGAGATTCGCTATATTGAAGCAAATGCCCCCTTATCACTTTGACACTCAAGTTCTTATTGTCATTGCCTGTTGTACATTGCATAATTTCATAAGATCCCAACGTGAATCTGATGAAATTTTTTATTTTGAAACCCCTCAATCTTCACAAAATGAACCTGATGTGGATGACGATGTTCAGGTGGTCAGTGCTACTAATACACAGATACGACAGATGGATATTTATCGTGATGGTATTGCCAACCTAATTTGGGAGCACTGTAATCACTAATTATAAAACTGTCTAATAGTGTGTAGAATTTTAATATGGATAACTGTAATAACTAATTATATTACGTAAATTAAACTCAGATGCTCCTTATTTATGGAAAACTGTAATAACTAATTATATTAGGACATCAAATATTAAATACTTTAGTACTTGTAGGCGCACTTATGTATAGGCTTGAAGGTGAGCGACCACACTGTGCATGTGGTAGAGGTCCTATGCATCTGTATAGGGCTCGAACTCTAAAAAATGATGGTCGACAATTCTATAGGTGTCCAGCTCGGGAGGTATGGTTTTAAACTTTTAGGTGCTATTTCAGCTACTGCTTCCTAATTGTATAATTTATATTTCTTGTAGTCACATATGAATGCATTTATGTAGGTGGATGAGTTGCACCAAGGTGCACAAGTTGAAGAGCAGGTTCAATCTGACTTGGACAGAGTTATTGCAATGATTCAAAATGAACAATGTAGACATAAATACATGCTCTTCCTAGGTTGTGGATGTCTTGCTATCACAATCATGTTTATTGTGATTGTCCTCTTATTGCTCATTATCGTTGTTATTGAAAGATGAAGTTAGATAAACTTTCATCTTTTGTAATATATGACATGTAATACGTATGTAGTTAATATCCTGTGTTTCATTTGGTATGTAATATATACTTAAATGGTATATTTTGAACTACGTATTAGTTGCTGTTGTGTTTTCTTCTCTGTCATTTTGGGAGTGAGCTTTAGGCCATTTCTAAAATTTGCTACTGAGGTCATTTACACTTTATTTGCAACTTAGTCTGAGAAAAGGTTCGATATATCTTATTTAGTACTTCTAATTATTTCATTCCTACCATGTGTTATTTTGTTTTTCTCTAATGTTGTTCATGTGTTTTGTTTTGCATGAGGTCATTTACACTTTAATCTACAACTAAGCCTGAAAAAATGTTAGATATATCTTATTTACTGCTTCTAATTATTTCATTCCTACCGTGTGTTATTTTGTTTTTCTCTAATGTTGTTCATGTGTTTGGTTTTGCATGAGGTCATTTATACTTTAAATTTACAACTAAGCCTGAAAAAAGGTTAGATATATCTTGTTTACTACTTCTAATTATTTCATTCCTACCATGTGTTATTTTGTTTTTATCTAATGTTGTTCATGTGTTTTGTTTTGCATGAGGTCATTTACACTCCAAATTTGCAGCTTAGCCTGAAAAAAGGTTAGATTTATCTTGCTTACTACTTCTAATTATTTCATTCCTACCGTGTGTTATTTTGTTTTTCTCTAATGTTGTTCATGTGTTTTGTTTTGACTTAGTCTGAAAGAAGGTTAGATATATTTTGCTTGAATTAAATTTGTGGACGGTGTCCCTTGTTAATTGAATTTTGTGGGCGGTGTCCCGTGTTGAAATAATTTTGTGGGCGGTGTCCCTTGTTAAATGAATTTTGTGGGCGGTGTCCCTTATTGAATTAATTTTGTGGGCGGTGTTCCTTGTGTTTATTGTGTTTTGAAATTTTGGAAATGTCTATTTTTAAAGGGAAGTCATGTAGGATTTTTTAAAAATAAAATAAAAAAAATTGAATTTAACTCTATTTTATATTTTGCTACTATAGGTAATGTCTTGTTTTACATTTAAATTCATTTTTTGCTACTACATTGAAGGACATGGCAGTAAGTTGTAGGCAGTGGCACCAGTGGGATTGATAGGAAGCATTCTCAAGTTGCTGCAACTCCAAAAAGCTACTGATCTCTAAGTTAATCAATGGAGGCCTATGCAAGTATAAAGAAGTAGGTGTACATTTTATGGAATGAATATTAGTGATCTTCAGTTGTGTGTACATTTTATGTAAGTGTAATGAAGTGTGTGTGTACACACATACTATTTTTAAGGAATGTCTAGCTCCTTATATGTGGAAGTATATATGTGAATGGTGCAACACTCAAGCTCTTAAGATTGTGATGTACAAAGCAAAACTATACGTGGAAGTATATATGTGAATGTTGTTCAGTCTTGTAAGAGGGATCTTCCTTGATTGCTTGCTTTTAATCTTTATTCATATTTATCAATTCTGCTTATGGTTGGATATTATATGAAATATTCACTAGTCTGTTATCAAAATAAATACTCAAGAAAAGGGGAAATGGTCCCAGAATCTTACAAAAAAAATATTACCAATTTGAAGGACCTCCACTACAAAATTTCAAACTAATCTAAGTGAAGTAATACTTTTTCTCACAAGCTTCAATATCCACCAAATCTCAACTCTGACCAATTCAAGACGATCAACGTTTTGGATTTATTTCTTGTTAGTTTGAACTACAAGGATCTCTCTCTTTTTCACATTCATTATGAATTTATATATATATATATATATATATATATATATATATATATATGAAACAAAACAAAGTTAAATGGAATGCAAGCCAAAAGAAAAAGATAAATGGAGTGCAAAGATCTGCTCTCATTAAAAGATTATTACAAAGTTAGATTTGTAATTTGGTTGCTATTAATCATGTTTATGCAGATTTATTCATTATTACAAAGTAGTTTGGTTGCCATTATACATGTAAATTTATTCATAATTTTTTTTCCCAACTCTAATGCAGAATTTTTTTTTTTTTTTTAACAAATTATCTCAAATCATAAAGAAAAATGGACTATTTTACATATAAACTTATAATTGTATTCATATATATAATTTTTCAAAATAAAAACAAAACAGTCTTTACCAAACAGGTATTCTGTTATTGATTCAGAATTTTTGATAACAAAACACTAGTCCCAAACATGTTTTGTTTTCGAATTCCTTAAAACGCATGACAATACCAAACGCGTTATCATGTTTCTGATATACAATTATCAAAAACAAAACAATCGTTACTAAACATGGATCCGATTTCTATTAAAAACATACCAATACCAAAACGGTTGTTTTCATATCATACCAAACCATAACATATAACGTTATCGCCATCCAAACGGACCCCTAACGTTCTAAAACATAAATCTGTCAATAAAATCAATAATGGAAAGACTTGTAACAACAAAATAAAAGAATTTTAAACTCATAAAATTCTAGAAACCGAAAATAAAAAGTCTTACAAATAAGAGGGTTTTTTTTTTTTTTTTTTTTTTTTTTTTTTTTAGCATAATAAGAAGTTTTACAAACCTTTAAAATTCTCAACATAAAATGCTTCCATTTTCTTCGTTATTTCTTCCATTTTATTTTGGGTATCATATATAAACATTGAACAATTAGGGATTCTGTTTGTTAAGGACATCTTTTGGAATTGTCCGCCAACTAGAAGCACATTATGCAGCATGTTATGGAGGAATGTCCTCCCATGGATTATCATAAAGAGAGAATAATATTCTTTATATATAAAATACTTAAGTTAAAGGCAAATTAAGTTTTTCTTCATTTTCTATTTTTTTTTTTTTTTGGAACTCGAAACTCCCTTGGGCAACGTCCTTTGAACACATCCCAAGCAATAAATTGAGGGTATTGCAACTAGCCCCACAATGACAGCACCGATTAAATCAGGAGTTATCAAGGGCGAATCCAGGAATTGTCAATGGGGGGGCTAGTATTGAACATAAATTTAATAACACAATTTCATAAGCAAAATTTTTCTTTATAACATAATCTAGATAAATATTTGAAATCAAATATTACAAAATATCTATTTAAGTTGTGCTCGTCGAGTTTTCAAAGACTCGAATTCATTAATAATAGACTCCAAGTTAATTTTCCAAACAAGGTCCTGTTCAAAGTTGACGGTCATGCAATCAGCAAGAAATTCATCTCCCATTGTGCTACGCTGCGCTGTTTTAACACGTTTCATGCCTGAAAATGCTCTCTCTGTAGTTGTTGTAGAAACGGGAAGAGTCAACACAAGACGGATCAATCCGTCAACCAAAGGGTAGCACTTGGATTTTCTTCTCACAACTAGTTTCCTACATAAATCTGTAAGAGAAGAAGTATTTTGAAACTCGTGATCACTAGGTACATCAAGTTGATAATGCATCAGCTGAATCTTTAATACTTTAAGATCTTGATGAGTGAAGTCCCAATGATAGAATTTCTCAGCAAGATTGCAAATATTCTCCATGTTAAAAGATTTAAAAGAATCACTAGGATCCAAAGCTGAGCTAAAAGTAAGAAGTTCCACTACTTCATTGTTGAATCTATGGTTTAACTCCATCAGCTGTAAATCTATTACAGAGTTGAAAATGTCAAAGTGATAATGGTGCTCAACTGTAATATTATCTTGTTGCTGACAATGACGACCAGTACCCTCTACATAACGAGAAGTCAAATCAGGTATATCAATGTTATGTCGATTGTAAAATGACACCACATTTGCAAGGAAAATATCCCAATCATCTTGTCTGAAATTTTGAAGCAGAGTTTTGGTTGTTGAGACTAATTTCAAAGCATTTAAAATGTCTTGAGATTTATGTTGCAAGGCTTGACAAAGTGCATCAGTGAATCCCATAATGCTATCCATTAGGTGCAAGATAAATATAAATTCAAAACTTCTCATTGCATTGTAAACACCTAAAGCTTGCCCACGTATCTGTTGATTTTGCCCACCCTTTCTAAGACTTTCAACAACTGTGCAGGATGTAGTATACATATCAATCAAGTTCCTAACAGAATCATAATGTGAACTCCAACGAGTAGCTTCAGCTCGATGCAAGGTGCCAATCTCATTAGCCCCTTTACCAGATTGACGTTCACCTGTGCTCAACATACGTGCAATCTCATCCCTTTGAAAAGATTTTAATTCACCAATACGCTTGGGAGAGGAAGTAACAAGATTGACAATACAAGTCAAGTGAGAGAAGAATTGCCAAATCTTTGGCTTATCTTTTGCTGCTGCAACTAGTGCTACTTGTAATAGATGAGCAAAACAATGGACATAATAAGCAAATGGACAATCTTTAACAAATAATGCTTGTAGACCATTCCATTCGCCGCGCATATTACTCGCACCATCGTACCCTTGACCTCTCAAATTTTGAATTAAAAGATCGAACTGAGCAAGAATACCTGATATTGCATCCTTAAGCGTCACTGCTAATATGTTTTTAACTCCCACAATGTCAAAAAAAAGTTCCATTAGCACACCATCATGCTTGACATATCTTAAAACAAGAGCCATTTGCTCCGTTTTAGACTCATCTTGTGCTTCATCAACAAGAATACAATATTTGCCTCCCGCAACTTCATCACAAATTATTTTTCTCACTCTATTTGTAAGAATATGAAGAATCTCTTTTTGAATCGATGGAGCAATGTATTGAGCATTTTGTGGAGCATTGTCCAAGATAACACTTGAGATTTCATCATTTCCTTCTGCTTTATACTTCAACACTTCAATAAAATTCCCTCGATTTAATGAACTTGAACTTTCGTCATGGCCTCTAAAACTAATTCCTTGTAATGCTAGGAAGCGAACAGTTTCAATAATTGCCTTAAGCCGCATTCGATTCTTCAAAACATCTTCTCTTGATTGGGCATTCAACACTTTATCAATATGTTGTGCCAATTTATTTAAATTTTCATAAAGCATGGCACATTTTCTATGTGGTGAAGATTGAAGTCCCATGTGTTTCAAGAATACACAATTATCTCCATCACCAACTTTCTTCCAATTCTTATATCCATCATCAATAAGTGAAGAACGGCACCCCGTTATATTTGTTTCTTCAAAAAGAAAGCATGGAAAACAATATGCTTTATCTTTTGAAGGAGAATATTCTGGCCAAGGAAATTGTTGGAACCATTCATACTTAAATCACCGATTCTGCCTTCCATCCCAAGAGTTAGGATAATTGGAAAGTTTAGGTTGATAAGGCCCCAAATTGATATAAGTTCGTCTAACCTCATCCCTTTGATTCACCGGGTATTCATGTATTTGAATACGTAACCCAGGATCTCTTTCAATATAAGTGGAATGGAGTTGCTTGGGTTCAACAACTTAAGGTAGGGCAGGAGGTCGTGAATTAAGATCATTGTCAATGTCAGATGCACTAGGTATATCCTTTTTCGATTGATAATCGTCGCTCATATGGCCTTTCTTTTGATAGAATGAGAGAATAGACATACTTTTTACTTTCTTGTTTGGCGGTTGATGTTGAGCCATTATTATTTTTAACCTAATAAAATTAAAGAATGAGTTAAATTAAAAATACCTAAATCAAATTTAACAACCATGAGGGGTGAATAATGAATTGCAATAAACAAATACAGGTAATAAATTAGAAATATCAACAATGAAGTGACCCAAATTATATTCTCTACTAATCAATGGCAGAAGTTACCTATATTCACCAAATACAAAAATTATCAGCTGATCGTTTATATGCTTTCAAACATTTATCTCTACACAAATATATTTATATATATATATATGCATATATGAAAATGTATATAGTTGAATCTAAAGCAGTAAAGCTCACCTTTGTGGTGCCTGAAATTTGAGCGAGCTGAAACTTCACCGAGACTCGGCTTTTCTCAGTTCCTCTGGACTATCTGTGTGGTTTTTTCAAGAGAAGGGTTAGGAGTTAGGACAAAACAGAAGTGATGAGAGAGAAAGAGACTAAATTACTCAAAATATGTATATGACTATGTGTCTATATCAGTAATTCAGTATACCTCTGCCTATATATACATGTGATAAAGTCATAAACAACTCAAATCAATGATTTTATTCAACAAAATTGTCAAATACACAAAATATTAAATATATAAAGGGTACCAAAACCACAGTTCATAACCATTAACCTCTGCAGCTCTGCCTATATATATATTATATAGAGAATCTCAAATCAAAGACTTTATTCAATAAATTGTCAGAACAAAGACAAAAGAACAGAAAAATTAGCAGTATCAACGAACCCATCTGCTGTTTCAATGAATAAATTCCAAAGAGCAATAAAAATTAAAAATCCAAATGAGATTTAATCAAAGACATGCAATTGCAAAAGAACCCTATTGGATTTCTCAAAAAGAGGGGTTTAGTCTCAAAAGAGATATGTGTCATGTGTGTGTGAGTATCAATTAGGAAAAAAAAAAAAATATCTTCAATGGAGTGTCTTCTGAGACGAAAGTCACGAAACGCCAAACTTTACAGGATGAGTGAATCTTAAGCGACGAAGAATGGGAAATTGGGGATTGAAAGATTAAAGAGTTAGAAAATTTTAGAGGAACTAGGTTTAGATTTAGAGGGAGAGAAAGAGTGAACTCTCTGGGAGTTTTTTTTCTTTGATTTGTTTAGGGCTTGTTTGGCTTGGGCATATTTGGTTGGGCCTTTATTTTAAAATTGTGGCTTAAATATTAGACTTGTTTAGATGGGTTAAAAGGGGGGCTAATATTACTATTAAATTTTTTTTTTTTTAAAACATTGGTAGAACATACCTATACTTAAAAAAATATATATATATATATTTTTGGGGGGGGGGGGGGGGGGCTCAAGCCCACCCAAGCCCCCCTCTGTGTCCGCCGTTGGGAGTTATAATGGGAATGTTGGACTTTGAAACCGGAACATATTAGAACTCGGTTCCTTATCTTACCACCATCACTGAACCTCGGAGACTTTCTATTTATTTCATCCTTGCATAATCAAAGTAGTAAAACAGTCAAGCCAGTATATAAATCAATCTACTTTCGTCCCATTTTAATAAAAAAGTATACAATACCTTAATGGTTGAATATTCGTGGTATCTCGTCCAATTGAGAGTCATAATAAGGCCTCAAAGACAAAGTTATAAAGTTATCGGTGACAAAAAATGATGGTACTTATTGATAAATTTTTAAATTGTTAACTTAAATAATAATAATAATAATAATAAAGGGTTATCAAATAGGGCTAAAGTAACAATAATTTATTTTAAAATTCATAATGGCAGCTGGTTGGAGCTTTTGTTCAACTGTTGATGTAGCAACCAACGGTTAGATGGGCTTGTAATTGGGTGCCCTTTTGGGCCTGTTTTGTGGGCTTGCTTCGTGCTTGCCCCTTTTTGGCTTTTTGTACAGTTCCTTAATTAATGCATTAACTGACCCGGGAAAAAAATACTCCGTAATAATTTGTAAAGAGGGGATTTTTGCATTCCACAACACTTCCCCATTCATTATTATTATTATTTTTATTTTTTTTTATAATAAAAATGAAATAATATTATGTAAACTTCGCATTAATCAATTTGTTTTCACATTAACGTCTTTATTAACTTATGTACTTATCATTATCTTTCTTCATCTTCTTCTGCTGTTTCACCGACTTCGAGATGTAGCCCTTTTATTTGAAATAAAAATATTAAACTTGTTAAGAATAAAATGGTGTTGATGTATATAGTTCACTTTTTATTTTTGATATCAGAAACATTGAACAATAGGGGTTTGCTTTGTTAAAAACATCTTTTGATATGTCGAAACAAAAAAAAAAAAAAAAAAAAAAAAAAATGTCGTCAGAATAAAAGCAAATGATGCAGTAAGTTATAGACACTACAAGAAAAGTGATTTTTAACCACGGTTCTGCATGAACCCGTTGGATTTGTAGTTCAAAATTGTCTACAGATTCTTTTTCTATTTTGAAATATTGAAATTTGTTAAGGAAATTGTGTCCCATAAAGTTCCTATTTTAGAGTTGTGATTGATACGGTAACTCTTTATAGACAAGTTGGAAAATACTTGTCCAACAAGAACTTAGGTTAGAAAACTTTATAAATAGATATGGGTATGAGAGAGAGTAAATTGTAAAGAGAAAAAGAGAGTTGAGATTGTGAGAGAGAGAGAATAGTGTGTAATTAAGTTTTTGAAGTAAAATTAGTCGTTTTTCACCCGTGGACTAGGCAATTTGCCAAACCTCGTAAATCTCATTTTTTGATTGTGTGTGATTTTTTATCTGTTATATTTACCAATTGTGTGTGTGAAATCTTAACAGAACCGTGATAGAAGATCCTTTCTACCATGGTTTTAAATGAATCGTGGTAAGAAATGATTTTCTACCACGGTTCATGTGAAACCGTGATAAAAATGATATTTAAAAGTGATTTTTTTTTGACAAAAATAAATATACTACCCAGACCCTAATCTCTCTTGATTACCGTCCTCATCAGACCCTCGGACAAAAATTGTCTCCTTTAGAACAATTAACCTGTTCCAGCCGGTAGGCATCTAATGGCTATAATTGAGCCACGTCAACTTCATCAACTTTGGTAACAAAAAAAGTTACCGAGCTACACTTTGTTTACTATAAGTACAATAAATATTATAAATAAATATTTTTTATCCGCTGTACAATATACCATATATATAATATTATTATTATTTTTCCTTATTCCCCTATTGACTAAAATTCAAAATCTCCTCCATATTTCACCGGATTGTTTTGGCGTAAACATCACTAGTCTAGGTTTTTAGACTGCAAATGTCTTTGGTCAATGTATTTGCTTCCATCTTGTATGGAGTTAGGGCTTCACTCTTTGTATGGGCTCCAAATTTGGGCTTTGTTTGTTAGGGAATCTCAACTTGTTTTTGTTTATTTGGGCTTTGGCCCTTTTGTACATCTATTATATTTATACAACAAGTTTACATTCCCAAAAAAAAAAAAAAATCTAGTATTGCAAATATCACTGCCTTGAATGTGGTAAAACACTTGAATTCAATCTAAGTGACATGTCACGTATAGTTTGAATGTTATGCAAGTACACTGCCATGAACTTCTTTATGTGCCATGGCATAGGCCACTTGAGGCATTCCGGGCCTGAAATGGGCATTCTACTCTGGACCAGTCCAAGTGTGTTACGGGACGTCCACAATGGCTTAGCATTTTTAAACCGGTCTATTTTGGGTTGGACCAGTCCAAGTCCCTTGTTCACCACTCAATTTTTAGGTTAAGAGTTTAGTTGAGCATATAGGTCGTCGGTCAGTCTTATGTTTTTACATTTGGGATTTGTGCATTTGGTCCAATTTACTTTATTTGTGTTGGGGAAACAGAAGTTTTTAAAACTTTATAAAGAATTTTTAAATAAAGATCTTAATTCATGTGTAGAGACAAGTTTTATGCATAAAGAATATGAAGATCCATTCAAATTAGGGATAGAAAACTTACATCAAAGTTTGAGTAAACCTTAGATCTCTCCTCTAAAGTGAATGTTCTCACTTATTATAGATCTCTTTGCTAGATGCCTTCTCCTTGGATCTCCATTTTCTTGGTAATTTTACCTTTAGGAATCACCCGTAAGCCTACATGAATGACCTTAGAGAGCTAAGCTTATGGGAACCTCAATTAGATAGGAACACTAACCCTAAAATTTCAAAAAGAGAAAAATATTTTCTTATCTTCTAAAATTATTTAACAAATTGTAACATAAAATATACATAGACTCCATGTATATATAGGCAACATAAAAATAATAATTAAAGACATTATATTTTTCTCAATATCTAAGACTAACGTGATATCTCAAATCTAATAGTTCTCCAATATCAAGTTGGGCTATGATTGAGAATCATTTGGGCTTATTATTTTGTTCGCTAAAATAAATTAATAATTGGCCCGATCCATGGACCCAATTCAATTAATTCATAAATTAATTTCTACTC